TCCATCAATTATCTTTTTTTGGCTGTACGGGCGAAAGTTCGACTTTGCTCGAGTTGTTTGTTCATTTGTTCATATACCGGTTCTTAGTTTGGGAATTCAGATCCGATCGGTCAATATTATTATTATTATATTTGGACAAATTGCAAAATGGAATCTCGCAGCATAATTAAAACAATCTCCGTGATTTAGAGGAAAAGAGTTTTGCCATAAACACTTCTGCTCAAAATTTTATTTTTGTGTCGTACATTTTTAATCATTTGGGTTTATATATTGGTGTTCTATTAAAAACTATAGAATCTGCATTATCATTCTTCCCTATTATGTGCCTTGTTCTGCTGCTAATATGAATGATATGAATTGTATTCTATTCAATTTTTGCATTGTTTTGGAGTGTATCAAATTATCTCAGCATGTGGTGTGTTAAGTTAAAATGCTTCCACACCTCTCTCTTTATAATATTTTTACTATTTGAGGTGACTATTAGAGATGGCTGTGATAATATCTCCAGTTTAGTATTTTTTATTATATACGCTATGCACTTTTACATGTGTTTCTTGAGTCTCTGGGCAAGATTTATATTGTTCTGAAAAGCAGTACAAAGATGAAAAAGAGGAGGAGTGACCAGTGGAATGCGTCTGTTGGTTCCACTGGTTTCTATGGGGATTGTCTCACCTGTGGAACCTCAAGAACCCCCTATGATTGCCTGTTTGGCTCAATCGCCATTTTTGCTATGCCAGTGGATGTGATTAAATGTTAGCTCCACCAATATCTGTCCTTGCCCCGTCTTATTTTATTTATACCACATGCATTTTGGGTGTCTGAGACCAATAAATCCTTTGTATCTTTTTGTTTGGTTGTTTTTTTTGTTTTGTTTTGTTTTGTTTTTTAAGACACTGAAACTTCCTGCGATTCTTGAGCCAAATATTTAATTAAACCTCTAAATTTGCCTTCAGGGCCATGAGATAAAAACCTGACCTTGGGGAGCTTTACATAAATATTAACAGTGTTTTAAAACCACATATCTCTGCTTTATCTGTGCTACATTTACATGAGAGGCATTTTATATTTTAATTTTAATTCTTGACATACAGACACACACAAGAAAACTAAAGCTTTTTATTCTCTTTTGTGGAGCTTGGCAAGTTATTCTACATTTATAAAAGAACATAATCTATATCTTGTCTGCACTAATAAAAATGTGTTAATTTCTCTTTATTTCCAGCAGTTTCATTATTTCCGCTTTATTTCCCCGAACACGCTCTCACACCGCTCCTTAACAAATGATGGGACATATTTAAAAAGCAGTCATTATTGTCTCTTTCTCTTGTTATAATTTTTACAAGGGTAGTTCTTGTGGGAATGAGAAGCAAATGCCACATAATTGGCGACTAGCTGCCCACTTTATTTTTATTTTCTCTGCCATTATGGCATTGTTTGTGTGTGCAGTCTGAAAGTTTTGTCAAACTTACTGAGTTAACGCAGCTTGTCACAGTAAGATGTATTTGTTTAATCTTTAAAAGTGTTTTACTTGGAAGAATCTGTGGGTATTTCCTTCGGTAAGATGTCTATTAATTGTTATTAGCCCATGTAGCATATTTTCAGATATAACTGCTAAGGTTAGATGGCATGAAATCATCATTAAGGGCCGACCAAAGACAATATGTGTCTCATTGGTCAGGATGTTTGGCAGAATGGTCCAAATGAGACAAAGACCAGTCAGTCACCTACCACTGCTATCTACCAATATGTTGCGCAAACCCCTCTAGGTGTGATGGCATGGTAGTCCAAGGGGAGCATTATATGGCTGCCAAAAGCTTTGATGAGTCACAGAGGAGGATTCTAAAATTTAACACATCAAGCCCACCTTACTGGAAATAGGAGACTTGTCAAAGTTCCCAGGGACCTGCAACTCGCTTAGATGAAGCCGCAACCAAGTCAGGATTTGGGGAGCACCTGCGAGTCTTAAACCATAAGGACAGGCTTCATGTGAGATGGAAGGAGCGCAGGAAAGTTTATATACAGTGTTTTGAGTTTTGTGAACCAGGACACGTCAGGGCAAGGTGCCTGAACACACGTGAACTGATACAATGTGTAGCCTGGGAGAAAATCCAAGGAACTCTTGCAGACTGATTTGTTTTAACTGAGTTTGTGGAGGGTACAAAAACATTCCGTATGTAAGTTCTGCTGAATAAAAAAAAAAAGCAGTTACACTAGTAGACTCTGGTAGTGCCATAACTCTTTCTTCAAGTAAGTTAGTGGGACACGCTAATCTGCAGAAAGGTAAAACAGGGGATGTGCTGTGTGTACATAGGATTGCTGTGCACTATTCCATTATAATGGTTGAAGTTTCTCCTGAAGAAAGGGTAGAAACTGTTACTGCAGTGGTGGTTCCTAGGTTACTCTTTCACCAAGATTTAGGAAGAGATTTCCCTGAGTTTCAAACTTTACTTCAGGAGTCAGGAGAACAGAGATGGTGATGGGAAAATTCAGATGGTAACCAAATGTTTCCATTCTCTGATCCAGCTTTGTTTGTAAAGCAACCAAAGTCCAGAAAGACCAGTAGAGACCAAGAACAGTAGAGAATGGAGAGAAAGGAGAGAAAGTAAGTGTATGGCTTTGGCTGAAGCTCTAGTAAAAACGCAAGGTAGTCGTTTCCACAAGGGTGCTGATACCCCAGTGATAGAGTCTGACTTTAGAGAATACGTGAGGCAGGGAATGAGCATAATGATCCGAACCCTGATGAGAATCACCCTGATGAGAATGACTATGATCAGAATGAGTGATGTGAATCATGTTAGTGGTGATTTTGGAAGGGACCAATGATCCCCTTTTACTTAGTGCCAGAAGCACAGTGGTTGAGGTAAATGCAGTGCCGGTGTTGAGAAAAATTCAAAATTACCCTTATTTTGTTTTTAAGAATGGTCTGTTATACTGGGTCATAATGAGGAAGGCAGGAGGTTGACCAGTCGGTGGTACATTCCATAATTGCAGCTTGGCACTCAAACATTCTAAGTCTACACATTTCGTATAAATATATATACTTTTTCAAGACGGAAGTTCAAATTAATACTTGTCTCAAATAGAGCATATTAACTGATCATCATGTTGAAAACCTAACCCTTTCTACACTTTGTCAAGCTTCACAAGATACTCAAATACAGAAAAGGTGTTTAAATCATATCACAGTCCCACCTGGAAAGGACAAGTTGCTGCCATTGACGCAGCTGTGTGGCACATTTGTCATCGACCAAATTGTAGCTACGAGCTATGATTTTAACCATTTCTGTGATGACTATATCTTGAGTTCTGTTTTCTTAGGTGCTTTATATCTGCAAACTTGTTTATGTTTAAGGTGGCACACTCTCTTTAAGGTTGGTGACACTCTGGTATTTGTTTTATTTTTCTGGGGAATATTTGCCTTTGCTTCATTTATTCTGCAAGTGCAAGTTTAGATGCCATTTTATTAGGTTATACATTTGAGCTACACTTGCAAAAAGAGAGAGTGAGAGTACATGTAAACTCTAAATAATAAGTCAAATGTGGCAAAATGCTCAAGGGTTGCTTATATTGGTAAACCACCGTGGCATTAACATGGTTAGGCAGATATTAGTAAATTATGGTTTGAATTAATCCCATTGTCGTAGTGAGCTGGTGGGATTCGGCAGAAATGATTGGTTTTGCAGGTTAGTCAGCTGGTAAAACGTGTGCTCTATGCCAGCTGGTGTTTTGTTTGTGTCATGGAGGTGACAACTTGCAGTAATTTGTAGTATGATAGTTCTAAGTTATTTCCCACAAAGCTTCAGCCTCTCACTACAGTCGTCTTTGTTAAGCATCTATATCTCTTAACCTGGTGACATAGTCCTGTAGTGATATTGATGTGGTCTCTGCTGTTACTATAGTATCAGTGTACAAGGCTTCAGCATGTTTAGTTTCAAGAGATAGGAAGCAACTTGTTTCCCTAGAAACAATCTTTCAACATTTCCGTTCTGTAGGTTGGAAACTCCATATAACTCTCTTGATGGCCTTTCTTTCGTAGAATTACAAATATCTCTTCCTTTTCAGGTTTTGATACAGACTTTTCTCCTGTAGAGATATATTGTATCAAAAAATATAAATAATATAAAAAGTCTGCAAAGCGACGGCCTGCTAAATTATGTCCGTGTGTACATTACACCGTAGTGGCTGCCTTGCTCGTACAGTATATTGTACAAGAGTTTTTACATTATCCAGTGACCTGTCTTCCTCGACACTGCACATTTTGTACCTGACATAGACAATTATGTTACATGATTCTTTGTAATGGGGATCTAGAGACCTGCTATTCCATACGACAAGTAACATCTGCTGATTTCAGCCAAATAGTCGATCGATCAAAATTAAAGTAAGAAAAACCCAATGCCGGGGGAAATCCCAAAACAGTCACTGACTACGAATCCAGGATAATTCCCTGAATGACTTGTGATTAATAAATGCACTGTTTTAACTGTCAAGTCTATGCTCACTGTGTTCCACTTTCTTTAAAAATGACTTTATACCTCTTGCTTTCTCTCATTGCAATCAAACACTTCTTAATATGTCATGAGAACAATCTGGGTGGCATGAGACATCATGATAGAATCTCTCTCAAGATCTACACACTCTACACAACGTCCTGATGTGATGCTTTAGGTACCTTCTTCATAGAATGTAAGGCAGTAGTTACACAGGATAGCTCTATAAACTCCGTACCTCTAAAACACCTACAGTTATGTTCCCTGGGTTGTCCAGGTCATGATATAAACCATTCAGTTGGTACATTGGTAGGTCTGGGATAGGTACAGTATCTCACAAAAATGAGTACACCCCTCACATTTTTGTACATATTTTATTATATCTTTTCATGTGACAACACTGAAGAAATTACACTCTGCTACAATGTAAAGTAGTAAGTGTGCAGCCTGTATAAAAGTGTAAATTTGCTGTCCCCTCAAAATAACTCAATACACAGCCATTAATGAATAAAAAACAGGAGGTAGGTGCAGCGCCTAAATAGTCCTCATAGGGGTATATAAAAGGAAAGTTGGAGTTGTATTAAAGATCCAGAAAAGTGTGAGTGGCAATTTTTTATCTTATTTACTCCAACCAAAGTTTTAAATACTACACTATTAAATTTCCCTTTTTTCCTTTCATATACCCCTATGAGGACTATTTAGGCACTGCACCTACCTCCTGTTTTTTTTATCCAGCTTTTAAATGGAAGAGAGAGACTCCACACTTGGTGTTTTAGCTGCCATTGGACTGTAATTATTTTACTTAAAGAGCTGAATTATTTCTTGTTATGGTATTTCACAGCCATTAATGTCTAAAACCATTGGCAAAATGAGTGAGTACAACCCTAAGTGGAAAAGTCAAAATTGGGCCCAGTTAGCCATTTTCTCTCCCCGGTGTCATGTGCCTCATTAGTGTTACAAGGTCTCAGGTGTGAATGGGGAGCAGGTGTGTTAAATTTGGTGTTATCACTCTCACACTCTCTCATACTGGTCACTGGAAGTTCAATATGGCACATCATGGCAAAGAACTCTGAGGATCTGAAAAAAAGAATTGTTGATCTACATAAAGATGGCTTAGGCTAAAAGAAGATTGCCAAGACCCTGAAACTGAGCTTCAGCATGGTGGGCAAGACCATACAATGGTTCACAGGACAGGTGCCACTCAGAACAGGCCTTGCCATGGTCGACCAAGGAAGTTGTGTGCACATGCTCGGCATCATATCCAGAGGTTGTCTTTGGGAAATAGACTTATGAGTGCTGCCAGCATTGTTGAACTGGTGGGGGGTCATACATAAAAATACAGATAAGGACCAGCGCTTATTTTTTAAGAATCTTAATCTACAAACACATGCGGATAATAATATTATAATTAGCAGCTATACATTCATGTGATAACTTACAATGTCACAAGTGCAATATACAAACGAAAAAAAGGAGAAATGTAGCGCTTATATAAATGAATAAATTAATTAATTACCTTTTAATTCAATTGGAAGAGAATTTTGTCTGTCTGTTAAATCTCTAGGCATCTACAAGAGACAATTAGACATAGCATAGATCACATATGGCAAAGTGGTATAATATGTATATGTGTGCACTCACAAACGGAGAGCTATAGACCCAGCTCTGGTTTGGATCGTTTCTAGGTCCCTATAGGCGACCCACCCCTATTGCTGATATGGATCTTATTCTGTGGGAAGAATAAATGTACAAACAATTGCGCAGTATTGCTATTACTAGTAGAGTATACAATACAAAATCCCAAGTGGATACTCACAAATGTGGAGTCAAACGATATGACTCAGTAGTAAGGCATTGTGCAGATAGGGACTGCACTCCCATCTGTGGAAGATGAAATGCAGGAACCAGGATCAGAGTGTAAAAAATACATTTATTATAACAATAAATAAAATAAAATAGGCAACAATGTCCTTAAACCGGTTGGGGGGGTCAGCCTGTCGGTGCTCAGACCATACACCTCACACTGCATCAAATTGGTCTGCATAAATGATGTCCCAGAAGGAAGCCTCTTCTAAAAATGATGCACAAGAAAGCCAATTAACAGTTTGCTGAAGACAAGCAGACTAAGGACATGGATTACTGGAACCATGTCCTGTGGTCCGATGAGACTAAGATAAACTTATTTGGTTCAGATGGTGTCAAGCGTGTGTGGCGGCAACCAGGTGAGAAGCACAAAGACAACTGTGACTTTCCTACAGTCAAGCATGGTGGTGGCAGTGTCATGTTTTGGGCCTGCATGAGTGCTGTCGGCACCGGGGAGATACAGTTCATTGAAGGAACAATGGATGCCAACATGAACTGTCACATACTGAAGCAGAGCATGATCCCCTGCCTTCGGAGACTGGGCCACAGGGCAGTATTCCAACATGATAACAACCCCAAACACACCTCCAAGATGACTGCTGCCTTGCTAAAGGAGCTGAATGTAAAGGTGATGGACCGGCCAAGCATGTCTCCATCGTCATGGAGGAGTGGAAAAGGACTCCAGTGGCAACCCGTGAAGCTTTGGTGAACTCCATGCCCATGAGGGTTATGGCAGTGCTGGAAAATAATGATGGGCGAACAAAATATTGACACTTTGGGCCCAATTTGGACATTTACACTTAGGGGTGTATTCACTTTTGTTGCCAGCGGTTTAGACTTTATTGGCTGTGTGTTGAGTTCTTTTGAGGGAACAGCAAATTTACACTGTTATACAGGCTGCCCACTTACTACTTTACATTGTAGCCGAGTGTCATTTCTTCAGTGTTGTCACATGAAAAGATATAATAAAATATTTCCAAAAATGTGAGGGGTGTACTCGCTTTTATGAGATACTATATTTTGCTAAAACCTACATTCGCAGTCATGATATACCCCTAAATTGTCCAGTTAGTACATTCTGGAGAGATCCAGAGCAATATATATAGTTAAACACTCCATGTGGTACAGTCACTTAGAAGGTCCATGTCAAGGTACATCTCTTAAACCTGCACTTGGTACATTGCAAGTGAGGTCCAGGTAGGCTATATACTAGACTTGTGCATTCAGTTTCAAACTAACTTGGATTTGTCCAAATTCTGGGTGATTGTCAAATCGACTGAATTCTGTAACTCCGAAGCTCCAAAGGGATGTAGCATGCTCAAATAAACCGGACAAAAGACGAGTTTGTTTGTTTAGCAATTCAGAGTTACTACCTTGGTGCCAAAAATGGTATGATTGATGGGAAAAAGTTGATTTATGATTAGGGAACAGCCACTATATGTTGATTTAATTAATGGATCAAGAAACAAGTGACCATTAGAGGGAAACAAGTAGGTGCAGTAATAAATACATAATATATAAAAATGTATAACTTAATTTTTTACTGATCATTTTTTCCCCACTGTTCTCTGATCACTTGATTTGTGACCAAATGGTGTGACAACACACTTATCTATCAGTGTACTGCAAAATATATACATACTAGTACATTGATTGGCCCATTTTTTTCTCCCTTTTTGATTCTTCCAAATCATGTTCCTGAATATAGTGCCTGGGTGATATTTTCCCTATGAATTACTTTCGCGGTACCCCAAAAAAAATAATTATTATTTTTTCAATATCAGCTGATTTGGCAAGAGAAAATTTACGCGTCATGCACAAGTCCAATAAATACCCCAAAATATTTTCAAGAAGCGATTCAGACAAACCAAACAGGTGCAAAATGTGGCGCTAAATATGCAAAAATATATATATTATATATATATATAATTGCAGTACTCTGATAGGGGCATTTTCTCTACATTTGGTTCACAGATCAAGTAAGAAATAAATATTAGATGGGAAAGGCAGAACATGAAAAAAAATATATATATATTTATATTATTATATATTTATTACTGCTCCTCTTTTTTTGTGTACTGCTCACTTCCTACTTAATCTGTGAATAAAATCAACATTTAGTTTCTGTTATCAAACCATCAATCATCTTTTTTGTTTCCATCAATAGTCTAATTCTTTGGGCGTCACATCCGTAAATCTGAATCACGAAACAAACAAAATGATTCAGTCCACTGTCCATTTTTTTTTTTTTTTGTTATTCATTCGTTCAAGGATTCAGACGAACGCTTTTCACCCAAAATGTGGATGCACTACAATTCTTTTAAACTATAACCTAGTCTAGTCCAGTGTATAGTACATCTCTAAATCCCCCAGCTGGTGGATTCTTTTGGAGGTTCATGGCATAGAATATACCTAAAAACACCAGCTGGTGGATTTCAGGAAAGGTCCATAACATGGCAGAGCCTTCAAACTTGTAATTGGTTCATTACATTGGAGATATTGGCCCGGGTAAAACCTTAAAGTGACACTCCGCTGCCCAAAACAAAATAAATCAATAGCTATTTCGTTGATACTTCCCCAATTAAAACATGAATGCATGTTATTGTGCAAAAGCTGCAGTTCTCTTGTCTTCAACCTTTGGAAGTCCTCACCCAGACTTTCTGTATCTGTCCAATCACAGACTTCCCAATGCAGCTTCTTGAGAAGTCTTTGCAAGACAGGTGCTCTGAGCATTTGCCTGCCTTTTGAGTTTTGCTCTACTGACTGTGCATTCACCCATCCATCCATCCATCCATCCATCCAAACCAGGACATAACAAAACAGGTTGTTGGATTGACAGTCAGGGGGCTAAATGATATCAGTTCAAATGTAAGAGGAGAGAGATTCTGCACTTGCTTGATATACGTGTAGCAGCTAGGATTTTACAAACCAGAATCTCTTCCTTCTGGTCATGGGTAGATATAGATAAAGGATAAACAGCCAGAAAGTAATACGGCCAGATGTCTGATTGACAGTCAGATGGGTGTACAAAGTTAATTTATATAAGTTATTTCTATTGAAATCAGCACTTTTTGTAAAATGAAAAAAAAGAGGACACACTATTCATGGAAAGCACTTCAGTATGCTGAAGAGCTTTAAGTGTGTTGGGTGGTCCTCTAATATGTTGAAATTATCCATTTATTATTAGCAATTAACTTTTGTATAGCTTTCCTGAACATCACTAAAACGATTACTTGAATATTGTTTGTTAAAAGGGTCTAATTAAAGTTGTGATTAAAATATCCTATATGCATTTTTTATCTTTACAAAGGTCTTTGTGCTAATTATACTGATTAATGTTACATCATTTTTTTTGTGAATTACCATTCCCTGGTACATTCATGTGTGACTTAATATTTTAACATAATAAGCATAAAAGAATGCGTTGGTAAAATAATTTTTACAGGTGCATTTGTGATCATTATTCCCCCATGAATTACTTAGTTTTTTCCCCATTTATAACCATGTCAAGTTTTTAACTAATTAATTTCATAAACTATGAAGCAGCTGGTGTTTTGAATGTTTTATCAAGAAACATACCAGACCATATCAACTGGGATAGAACATCATACAATCTTTTATAGGCAAAAACTTAAGTGGTAGAACTCTTTTTACTCCCATTTCCTTTCCTCATTATTCTTAATTAAATTAATCTTAATCACCCTCTGCAATAATTGTATTCACTATAACAACTTCATGTAATTAGAGTTGTTATAATTAATTTTACAAGTTCATGTTTTTCTTAATATTTATTTATTTATAAAATATTTTACCAGGATGGATACATTGAGATTTCTCTTGTTTTTAAGTACGTCCTGGGTCCAT